CGATGTATATATATATATATATATATATATGCATAAAGTACTGCTTAGTGTACCGGAATAAAAAGTATTAAAACACAGCAACTCGATTATAAATTAATAATTTTTCGATAATATCTTATTTTCTGCCATTAAAGCTTATTAAATTCATTTTATATATTATATTTTGAAAAGAAATACACTCCACAGAAAATCAATTATTAATAATGAAGTAACTAAACAAAATTACTGCGTATCTTTTGACTAGTACAATAAAGTTACATATGTTTTATTTAAATAAAAGTAATAACTATTCTGTTAAAATTCGAATAATAATAATAAATAAAACAGCTAAAGGAGAAACAATATGAAAACTTTAAACAAATGTTAGCAGCAACTGCAGTAGCAACTTAAATGAACTAAAACGGCAAAATTGCATTTACCTTGTAGTAATTTTCATAGCTAATTTAAACGCTATGTATAGCTAAAAAGAAAGGAACAATGCGTCTCCTCCTTTGCTCATCAAAGAAAAAACAGCGCTGCTTTAACAATGTCAACAAATCTCCTGACAATAAATTTTAAATAAAACATTAAATAATGTCTATTTCAATCGAAAATATTTCTTGATGACAATATACATTAAATTTACATCATAATATAATTTTTAAATTACGCTAGTTTAAACAAATATTTACAAATCGAAATTGAGCTTAATATATTTTTTATCTAAATGATAGTTTGAATTTCAACATGCAGAGTTCTTTAGAATAATTTTCACTAAATTTGCTGTGCTTTTTTGAATAATCATAATGTAAAAATGAGCATTGTCTCATTTATAATATATTATTTATAATATATTATTTACGATACAATTTTTTGAATATGTATTAAAGTATGTATGAGAAATAAAAATATGAGCAATTTTGTGCAGACTGTGTCACTATGACTATGTGACTAAGTAAATATGTTTTCTGTAACAAACCATTAATTGCAAGAAAAAAAACCATTTTATATTTAATATAATATATAAATAGATTTGTTAGACATTTAGTTTATCCAAGCTGAATTTCTTTGTAATACGTCGTTGTTTGCATATAATACTTTCACGACAGACAAAAGACTATATCCTGAGAAAGGTTTTAAAAAGTGGAAGTAAGAAATAGTATTTGCCGGTAGAATTCAAAATTAGAATAGGGGTTAGAAGCAACATAGCGCAACTTTAGACATAGAACATAGCGCAAACTTTTATTACAAAACAAACAAGTAATTCATTGCACTCTACCGTCTAGAAGCAGTTAACAAACGGTGAACGAACTTATTTGCAAGCATTTTAACTGTGCAGCTCTTATAGGTTCTCCGCAAATGATGCCACGTTATAAGTGGATTGAATGGGCTTAAGAAATTGTGACAGTTTGTAACAGCAGGGGGAGTAATAAGAAGTGTTATCATACATTTCGGTTAAGATATTTTGCCTCATTTTGGTAAAATCTTGAAACATCTAAAATTAGCAGATTAGACATTTTTTGCGTAATTTTTTTAATCGGAAGACATGCATCTAATTATTGATACTATTCTACTTATACATGTCATTAAAATACATAGTTTAAGCTTTAAAAAAACTAAAATATGATCTTTGCTTTCGAACTATGTATTTATAAAAGGTATATTATATTAGATAGGTTTTTATATAGGGTAATATTATGCAAGTTTGTACTTATGTAATGTGATTATAGTGAATAGGAGGTATGGTGAACTGTGAGACATTGTGACAAAAACGTGACGAAAATATTTAAAATAAGAATAGTATCATTTATGAGCAAACGAAGCGAAGAATAAATACTGTAAGAAGATCCCTATACTCACGGATAACTTTTATGGATCCTCTAGTTTCACTAATTGCATTTTTTGCTACACAATGATAGTAACCGTAATCTCCAGGTTGAACACTTTTAATAGTTAGTTTCATGACTGTTTTAAAAGTATTTCTAGTGATGTGGGTATGATATCTGCTGCTCTTAGTTTCAACAGGTTCCTCGTCTTTCATCCAAGAATTGATGGATGTTGGATGAGCTTCTGTGTGACACTCCAGGTGAGCGTCAGCGTTCTCCCGGACACCAACTAACTGGTTTTGGATCCAAATAAGAGGTGGGACTTTAAGAAAAATATATATATTAATACATTTGCAGAATTGAATTATGTGAACATATTCTTAGTATGAGAAATACAATTTACAGAGTTGTATTTGTATTTAGAAGTGGCTCAGTTTATGTAGCAAGTTTTTTTTATTTCCAATGAACTGCACAATCAGTCTCGCCGATGAGCAGACCTAGTGCGTTCTCCAAAGGTGGTATCCACTCTTTCAGAACCACCACAATGGGTGAAATACCGTTGGTCATGTTAATTCGGACGTCTAGTTTCTGCCACACTAGATGGCAGCACCGAGACTCTATTTGGATGCTAAAGTGCACAAGGAATTTAATATTGCCGGAAATGCCAGGAGCCAATAAGGCACGGCAGGGAATTTTACATGCCGCATAATCATACGACATGGCCGCTGAGGATTTTCTGCATCCCGAAAATCTGATCCCCGGCCCAGATAGGGCCGGGGATCGAACCCGCAGACTTGGGCTCAGAAGGCCGACGACAAACCAAGTGCGCCACCCAGCAACTTTATGTAGAAAGTAAAATATTTGATAGAAAAAATCTGAAAACACAATAAAATTTAACTAAGAGAGAGATAAAAGATATCAAGAAGATAAACATTTAACTGTGAACATTGGGTTACATATGGCGTTGAGAGGGTAAAAATTTCGATCTTAATCTCGCTGTACTTTCTCCACTTGCGACCAATACTTGTCTGATCATCTTAAATCAGTAGTTTTTGCATCATCTAAGGAAACACAGGGGGTATCATAACCATGTTTGTTGTCACTTCAGCAGATAACAAAATCAAATTTGGCATCCTAAGCTCATTTAGAAATCATTTCTACGTCGATGTAGACAATGAAACTAAATAAGTGGACACCACTTCAACCGACTCTTGTAATAAATAATTAAATAAATATTTTTGCTGTTGAAAAGTCGCAAGCATATATTTTTTTAATTATTTTTAAACATGACGTCAAAAACTCCATTGGTTTTTCATGATTTTCAAGGCCTCAACATGGTTTACGACAACATGGTCAAGTTTTCCTACGATAGTAATCATATTGTTTTGCTGGCTCAATATGCTCAAGGCTTTCATCAACTTGATATTTGTAGTCACCCCTATAAATCCTTCGTTCAAATTTCGCCACTCCTTGTATATTTGATTTTGACAATCGCAAATTTTTGTTTTTAAACAGTATAACTTTTTGTAATACGTATCTAGAATTTTTTGTCCCAGTGCATAGTGAAATAATGTTAAATAGCCATTAATTTGATTATCAATTAAACTCAAGAGACATATTAAGGGTGTAGAAATATGATATGATGTAATAGTTAAACATACTGTAATGCAGGAGTTTCAAGTATACAGTCACTACAGTCAATCTGATCATTAAGAAATCTCGATAGATGTAATTTCATAGAAATATATCTATACACCTGTGTAAATTAGTATACAGCAAACTTATTTCATAAATTTGAATACTTACAGTCTAATTAGGTTTCAAAAATTACTCACTTCGCGTCAGAATAAGAAATAAATTTTTCAGAATCATATTTTCCAAATGATTAAATAAAATTATTTCCTTTTTGTTTGTGGACATTCCATGTCATTAAAGAAATAAAATTTAGAAACACAAAACTTCGTTAAACGTTAAATCAAAATACAGATACCCTGGATTAAGCAAATTTTATGCAACATCATTAAATTGAGCAAAGTTTTAGCTCTTATTGATACTTATTAAAACATATTCAAGTACAAAAATATTGAATTAGCTTTCTAATATAGTTTAACTTAGTATTATATTAAAGTTTCACAAATATTGTTTGATACAATAATTCAATAAAATGTTACAATGAAGTATAGTTCAATAAATCACATAAAAGAATATTTAAATGTAATAGTGAATATTCGTGCGGAAGTTTATTATTGAAATACATTTTTTACCATACAAATAACAATATAGAATATCTTATTAGTTTTCAATGTCATTCTGTTGAGCTAGAGAAAAATTTTTGAATTGTCAAAATAAAAAACAGATATTGTTTAGAAATCTTATCTTGCAAACGCTAAAGATATTTCCTTCTCATTTGAAACAAAAATAAATTAATAAATATACAAAAATACAGTAAAGAAAAATAAATAAAGTAAAAACTTAACATGCCCTAAATTTATTTAGATTTATGCTCTGAATAAATTTGATTCAACAATAAACCTTTTTCTTGGTACCATGAATTGCAAAATGAAGCAAATTTCTGCAACATTTATAAGGTGTTAATTTATTCAATGTTTTCGATCAAGTTGCCCCATATGGTCGAATTTTAGAGAATTGTAGTGTAATCTTGCTTAGTAGTATGATTAAATTTAATAATATTAAAGTTACAACAAATTGGCTTTTTAACATTTGATACACTATGTAAATTAATAATTGAAATAGCCTATTACATAACATACTGAAATTCTATTGAAAATAGCGTACTTTTTGGAAAAAAAAAACACATAATTTTGGTAATAAAACGAAAATGTAGATTATTTAAACCAATCATTTGGAAATTTTTCAGTTTGTATGTTCTGTTAATCTTTTATCGGTAATTCTGATTTTCAAATTTATAATACTTATTATCCACATTTAGTAAAATTAAAAACGAACTGAATAATAAATTTAACCAAATAGATGGTTTTTATGCCAAAATCTAAAACGCCATGATAATATAACCAAATTTATCACTTATGAAACCACATTTTATTACTAATTTTACGATATTTATTGCTAAAGAATTTCGGTAAAACTACCACGGAGCTATTTGGTGTTCCTGAGGAACCAAAACAAAGTAAATTTTACGATATTCTGGTAGTTTTGACCATACTTTTTTTCTCGGCGCAAAACTCAGTGTTTTATGGATTTTTAGGAACATAGATTATGAAGCAGCCTATTAGGTAAACCAAGGAAGCATTTTCGAATGCATATGGAGAAACATCATCAATATATTGTAATGTAAACCGAAAAACCACAACGAGTAATTTGAATTCAAAATCAAAACGGTTCTTTTCAATGCAACTCAAATAAAAGCTTTAACAGCAATATTTCACTTTCGTTTCAAACATTAATTATAACAAGCTTATTTATTATATATTAGATGTTTTAGATTCCAAAATATCTTTAACAGTAAGAATGCATATTTAATTAATATCCTTCCTATAAGTTAGTAATTCACTAAAAATTGTACTTTCCATTTTACATGACCTTTCAATTTAAATACCTTTGATCCATGATACAATTATATTTTCAGCTGTCAGTTTTTACTTCAGGGAATACTTTAAAAGTCTTTTAAAAAGGCGTAAAAATTATAATAACTCCTTCCTTTTATAAATTTGATTGGAATTATTAGAATTTTACTGTTCATATTATTCTAATACATATTAAATATGTACACACACGCATATTTATATATATACTATAAATATACTATATATATAT